GGTTAATTCACTTTTCTACACTGATAGTGTCTTCTTAACGCTGGCAGGATTAGTAACAGCAGCTGAAAAAAGACGGGGATGATGATGATGAGAAACAGCAATATCATTTAAATTTTGCTAAAAACGAAAAGAATAACTCAGTAATGATGACGACAATGAAAATTACAGCATACTTTGCCTCTGTTATTCTCATCAACGCCGTTATTCAATGATACTGCTGTAGAATACCTTTCACCTTAAGCGACGAACCCATAACTATCGATTTTTCCTGTTGTGCGTATTTATAATAAATGTAATAATAGTAACATAATTAATGCTAAAATATGCTGACATATGTATGCCTCTGATATCAACGAAACCAGTCATGTCACCATGACAGTTAAAAGTGATTCGAAATTTTGGTTAGTACTAGAAAGGTGGGCTTTAATTTAAATATAGCTTTATTTAATTTTTAAACGATACTCTTCTTTCAAATATTGTGATGCATCGTGATATAATTTTGAGTTTTCGCAAAACAAAATTGATATTTATCGTTGTGTAGTCAAAAGCAGAAGTTTTTGGAGATAGGTTGCATAAGTTTGACTGCCTTGTAAACTGCTGGTCCGTCGAATGTCTACAATCTGAATAAATATTCATTTTTGACTATATAGTTTATGATCGTTGTTCTTTGTGATAGACCGGATGCACATCAAAGCAACTATATCCATCATGGTGACTTTTGTAGTCCAGACTATCGATGCGCTGGAACGAAATCGGTCGTATATTTAAAATTGCTCACTCAGTCAATTTTATTAAAAGTCTGGCACGTGTTTAGATTCAGAAAATTATATATTATAAAAAATTTACCCTTCAAGTTAGTTTATAATATAAAGGAAGAAAAAATACTGTAGATATAAAAACGCATAATATATCGCTTTTGCTAGAGGAAAATTTATAGGGTGGAATTTATAAAATATTCGACATGAAGACATATGCATGTCTGGTCCCCAGTATTAGAAAGAAAGACTTTGATCATTCTTGAATTGCCTTGGCACAACGCCCAAGTTTGAGTCATGGTCGAAGTATAAAGAAAAACAACACGAATGGAATTCTCAATTACATGGTTTTTCCGCAACGTTATGATACGTAATGAGCTTACATATTACAGAGGCTTTCTTTGTGAAATCCTCTTCTCGTCTTTGAAGTTTTTCGATAATCCCGAAGACCCAAAATATGAGTGTTAACAAAATTAAAAAATTTATATAATTTCTAATGAAAACTAGTTACCAATATCCAGTATATTTACAAACATTATTGATTCGAAACTGGAATCTTGTTGAATATCGCTATTTCCTTTTGTGAAGAAAGGGTGAGGTACATATATCATTTTTTTTTTTGCAAGAATACGAATTTACATGTGCTTAGAAGTTGTTGCATTGTTAATTAAAGTTTTGAATTAAATTTATACTTAGAAATATAACATAATGTAATCGAGTACGTCAAATATAACCCGACGCAGCAATATACAGTACTATAACCAGACCTACCGCAAACCTGAAGTATTATAACTGACGTAGCCACGGATATTATCTGTAAAGTAACCTGATGAAACCATGTACGTTAAGTTTGAAAAATAATATAAGCAAATATTAGTCATGAATCGTAACTTTCGTAAGTGTGGGATCATCAATAATGGGGGATCGATTTCTCATAATTGAGGGGGTTCTAATAATTGAGAATATTCTAAATCGTATAAAATCAAATATATTACCAAGAATTAAAATAAAGCTGATAACTTAGGTTATAGAATATCAAACACTAGAATATGGTTTATAAAAATGTTATTGACTGGCCAAATAAGGCGGGTTGGTGAAGGTATGTTGATAATATTTTTTTTAAAAAAATACAATGGAAGGCGTTCTTGAGTATCAAAGACTCTGAAGTGTAAACACAAAGTATGTAATTTTTGCCAACACTACTACTACCACTACTAATGCTGCTGCTGCTTTTACTACTGCCACTGATAGGTGTACTTTGGTAAGACAATCCATAAGAAGTAATCTTTTCACCAGCATCTTGCAAATAGCTATTTGGTTAATAATCCTACAATAATTGGCAGGAAAAGACATGGTCTTTCTTTCATCGAAATGGGAACCTTAAAAGCACAATATTATCTAATCAGGCAGGTGCTGACCTTAAAGGTAAGGTGTCTGGTCCGCAAGATAGAGCACTATTGTTCTGGTACATTATACAAATCGTAGATGGCGCCACCTGTCGATTGGAAAGAAATTAATTTCAGTTTTGTAGTACCAGAAGAGTTCTTTATTGTCATAAATCAGTTTAGAAAACGTAAGCGATAGACAATCACGACATACAGAATCAGACAGATTAAACACGTTTGATATGTTTGTAAAATCCAATAAGAATGCTGAATATTGTCGAACTGATTGGGAAAAGTCTGCAAATGTGAGTTTCGAAATGTGAAAAAAAAAACATTCATTTCTTGAATGCCATATTCAATTATACTTAAAGCTCTCTCTCTCTCTCTCTCTCTCTCTCTCTCTCTCTCTCTCTCTCTCTCTCTCTCTCTCTCTCTCTCTCTCTCTCTCTCTCTCTCTCTCTCTCTCTCTCTCTCTCTCTCTCTCTCTCTCTCTCTCTCTCTCTCTCTCTCTCTCTCTCTCTCTCTACCTGTTCTATTCCTACTCAAAACAAATACAAGTTGAATGACTATTTAATACAATGCATTACTAATGGTACAGAGAAGGGTGAAGTAACAATACTAGGCCTTATCATATACACTCTTTCTTCAATTACTATGAGATATGAAAAGGCTTTGACTGGTGGGTTTTGTACAAAGAAATATCTGTCTGGAAGTTTGAAACCAAAGCTGCATATTTCTCAGATGTTTTATCTTAAGATGAGATATTAAAACATACAAACAAGCAAACAAGTACCCCCAAAATTCTTTTCAAAATATTGAAGGCATCAATATTTAATCGATGAAAATAAAATGTTAGATATGCCGTATTACGGTCAAGCCTTCTATGCAGGGTCGAATTTGATAAATAGCGACAATGCTGACAAATACAATAGAACAATACAGAGGGTCTTGCATAAAAAAATACGCAATATCTTCGTGTAAATTTGATCAGTAGATAGTTAATTTCACTTATGTTTAACTAATTAAACGTCTAGGTCAAAATCTAAATTTTAGACATCTTGGCAATATCGGGACTTTATTTTTTTCGATAAGATATACTTTCAGCTTCGCGTTCTTTAATTACATGTGTTAGATGACTAGGGATCTTACTCAGTAACAATAAAGGGTGAAAGCCAACAAGTTTGTAAATTTAAACAAAACAATTTATTTCACTAGACAACAATGTAAAAATTGGTAAATAAGATTTACAGTTGGTGAATATAATCCAAATATGAGTATAAGAATAAAAACACAAGTCCTATCACTAAATAGTCCTATAAAATCAAGGTTCGAGTCCCGACAACGTACGAATATAGAGGGCGATGATGTCAGATGTAGTCTAATGTATGAATAACAATAATTCCTCATTTGAATTACAGTCCTTGTTTCCGAATAATTCCAGAATTAATTTCCTTGAATATCTTTCAGAATTTTTTGTAAGAAAGTCAACTTGTTGAGTGTCCAAGAAAATAAGCTATTGAATCCAAAAATCAGACGAAGAATAAAATATTCTGGCAACAAATTTAAAATAAAATATAAACACACCTTGTTTCTTCAAGGGTTTGAATGACTCTGGTCAAACTAATATTAAGAAAGCGTATTTACACTCAAAAACATCACTTCAAATCTCGCGAAATTGGTCATGTGGTCACTTATTACGCTATTTCTGCCACGTCCGCAGTACAGACTGACTTAAAGACCAGTCATAAACATAGGTTGTTTACAAACATTGATCACGCGAAGAAATTATGTCCGTGATGCTGACCAATCATTTTAACTTCCTGTTGATTTGTTACCAATATAAGGCGAACTAACTGCCAACCCTTACATATTACTATTTCGTCTTAAATAAAGAAAATGTGTGCTAAAATTATATCTCACTATTAAAAATAGAATCCCGACTCCGAGAAAAATATTCATTTCAATTAAATACAATGAAACAAAAATGAAATAGAAAGAATTTTAAACCTTACACAAAAACAATTTAATCAGATATACGTAGCACATGCTCCTATATTTTCTAAAGAGAACAACAAATATTCATTAGCTGTGTAAAAAGAAAATATTAGAACTTTCCGTCGCACTCAAGTGCACGGTTGCTGAACAGTATATTTAATGCTTGGTGTTTTTCAGTTTAATTTTTGGGGTTTCCGAAAAGGGAACTAGTTCCGAGTCATCAAAATACAGTGATGTTTATGAACCATTTATATCGATGCCCAAATGTTTGCTTTCTTTGAATGTTGAAATCTCACACAATCCCGTTTGTATGTACCCTCTACCGATTGTAAAAACGGAGGTTATTAAAGATATTAAAGTGCACAAAACTTATTCATTTCGTTCGTTAATTTCTATTCATAAATTTTTAAATTCTAAACTGATTGCCTCCAATGGGCCCCACACACTTATCGACATATTTGCTTGGGCCAGTGTATGTTTTCAAGTTTCAGCTATGATGTAGTTCGCCGTATTTCAAAATCTCAATAAATCCGTAAAGTTTCGATTTACATTATTTGAATACATGAATGCAACAGTTCTTCCTATTTTTTGTTCAATTTGTTTTAGAAATATTAAAACTGCCTCGCTTGGTGTTCAGTATTAAGAGACCTGGTGTCAGGATAATGTGACTTGGTGGGACATTATGTTACATGTCACTGTGCTAGACATCACTATAAACTACAGACATCGTAACGATATGACTGAATAATTGTTGAAGCTACATAAAAATTCGTTCACATTATTATTATTATTATTATTATTATTATTATTATTATTATTATTATTATTATTATTATTATTATTATTATTATTATTATTAACAACCACTCCAATGGCCTAATGGTTAGAGCTTCCGCTTTGGATGCGGGAGGTCGTGGGTTCGATCTCGTGTCGAGTCATATCAAAGACTTACAAAAATGGTACTAACAGCTTCCTCGCTGGATGCTCGGAATTAGAGATTAGTTAGGTCTCAAAGGACAGTGTTTGTGGCAAATTTTCATCCGACGATGACTTATTGCAGACAAATGATAATAATATTACATTAAAGATACAAATAAAAACTTTTAATGATTTTTGTTTAAAGGATACTTGTAAGATTCTGGTTGAGGTATTAAGGTTAATTCCTTATACAACTGGTGGCTTTTATACTGAACCCATACTACCAACAACCCCTCTCTTTTTACAGTCATTTTTTGACAGAAAAGAGCTATTTTGAACATTTTCCTGAGAAAAGGCAGCTAAGAGAATCAACATGTACCTTATTCATCTTTAAAGTTAACTAGTACTATAACAAATTAATATGCATTTCGTCACCCTTCAGCCATGTAGATTTTTGGATACTTACCTCTTTAGAAGACATGTAAATACGTAAGCCAAGTCGGCTGCTCATTTGGAGCCTAAGTTACGCATTTGATATTCAATGCTAGTTTAACAGTGACAGTCAGTCACCAACAAGCCAACCCATTTTCAAGCCTAACTCAGTGTAAATATAAACCACATTACATATTTAGATGTGTTTGAATTTATAATAATTAGGATCATACCTTCTACCTTAAAATTTAGGGAGGTGTCAAAATACGAAACTATCCAGTGAGACCTTAGGACTGGTCGGCCCAGTGTCAGGATAATGTGACTGGGTGGAACATCATGCTATATGTCTGCGGCATGATGCCACAGTGCTAGACATCACTATAAACTGCCACACTGCAGACATCGTAGCGATAAGACTGAAAAATTGTTCAAGCTACTTTAAAAATCATAATCACATTACATCACGTGTTTATTTTTATTATTATAATAATAATAATAATAATAATAATAATAATAATAATAATAATAATAATAATAATAATAATAATAATAATAATAATAATAATAATAATAATAATAATAATAATATTAATATTAATTATTATTATTATTATTATTATTATTATTATTATTATTATTATTATTATTATTATTATTATTATTATTATTATTATTATTTCAACTTCATTCATAATTCCATTCACGACGCAACTGAATATTCTGATGTGACAGATGATTTCATAATATTATAGTATGATGGCGTCATAATTTCATTAACTCCATCACATATAGACTGTATAAACTATTTATTTACCTCCCTTCCTAAGTTCATGCAGGGTATAAATACGTCACGTGTCTGTCTCTGATTTAAAATGAGGACTAAATACAAATAGCTGGTACTTGGAAGTCTTTCAGCTTTAAAGTCCAGTCCAACTGCAAACAACGTAGATCTTGATCTGCCGTATCATAATGCACCTGCCGGTCAGGGTCTGTGTTGTTTGTTAGGCTGATTATTGCTAGCAAACTACACAGATCCAGATCTGCCTGCACATTATGAGAGGCAGATCTGGGTCTGTGAAGTCTCCAGTAGGACTAAGCTTGTAAGTATATACGGTAGTCGTATGTTTTTCTTGATAAAAATAAATATGATCTCATTTTAAACTGTGACAGAAAATTTCTATATCCTAACTAATTTTAATGACTTCATGTCTGTCACACTTGCATATGTAACATATCCATTTCATTTTAATCGATAACCATAATTTTATGCATTTATTGCAGGAATGCGTTTATGAGGGATGGGTGGGGACAAATATGTGGTAATCAGCTTTTAAGTTTTACAGAAACTTGTTTAGAGATTTAATAATTCCCCTATGTGAGAGTACCCATGATCCATTTCCAAACAAGTGGCTAAAGAGCTACATGTACGTGCAAGTTTTAAAGATGATCTTTTTCTTCAACACAAAGATGCAACTGTTTGAAATGTTCAGGATAATCCCATTTCACTTTGTCTCTAATGTAAACAGTTATTATAAAGATTCCAGACTGTCACTTCATTTGTGAATGATCTGGGTTTTGTTAGGCATTTCTCAGTCGTCATGGTAATGGTTTGTGGATATATCCTACAGGGTCTCCGGAAAGTCATCCAGTTCTTACCTGTACTAAATGCCCATAAAATAACCAGGTACAGTATTAAGATTGTACTAACTGCCCATAAAATTATCAGATACATTAGTAAGCCTGTATCAATTGCCCATGCATTTACCAGGTACAGTAGTAAGCCAGTACTAGTTGCCTATACCATTATCAGATACAGCAATTGCCCAAAATGTTAGATTATGAGTATGTATATAAACACCCGTATAGTGTTGTTACGACCCTGTAGTTTAATTTTGTGTGTTAAGGAAACAATTCTGTATAAATCTTTTTATTTCATTTTTATTTCATTAAATGTAATTATTAATATAATTATATTAATATCAGTCTAATATGTCATTGAAAAACAGTGTTTACTTGAATCGTAGATGTGACTCATGTGAGCACGTGCTGTGCATGATAACTAATTTATTACAAGTAAACATTCAGGAATAGCTATGAAAACGATTGGCTGATACTGGGTCAGGCTTTCCTAATGTCCAGAAGTATTACAAAATTGCATGCGTCCTCGTGCGCGTGCAATCAAACAACGTATTAACTTCATTTATATGTTTGAGATTTTTGTAAGTCGTACACAGTCACGGACAGGCAGTCGTAGTAGAGTCATGCACAGTCGTAGAGTCGTAAAGTCAGTTATACAACTTTTATTACCTTAAAAAAGGTATTTTTGTGCTAAAAGAAGTTGTATGTTCGTATGTCTACGCAGAACAACATGTTTTGTTAGAGAAGCTAATTTTACTTCGTTTCTTCTGAATAACTGTTTTCTTGGAGAACAACTTTACTGATTTGGACAAAGACATTTTCCCGAAAAAATTCTAAATTAGAACGGAGTAACACAAACCGTGCTTTATTGTGTATATTCTGGAATTTTCTGTTAAGACTTCGTCTGACGTGGTCATCCGCCATTTTGGACCGTAACTTCAGACACTTCAGACTGTTTAAAACCTTTTACAGGACTTGTTTCTATTTCGAACAATTTTGATCATTTCTGTAAACCGTAAGTCTTGCTTTAATTATTTACATTATTTCATATTTTCTAGTAAAATAAATTATCATTTACAAAGCTTGTCTTCACTCTTTTGTTACTTTGAACGAGCCGATACGTAAGTCTTCATTGATCTAATCTTTGGAATGCACACTGGTAGCTAGTTTACTCTGTAAACAAAACCATGCGTACATAAAAGGTCCAAGCACGCACCGACACTTACGGCTTTGAATTGGAAAACGTATTCAAACCAGTCACTGGGGAGGGGATGCATTTGTATATTTGAGTCAATACAATGAAAAATTAAAACTGAACAAACACCACTTCCCAATTGATCGTTGAGTTTCCCATATTCTACTTGGTCTTGTTTGGAAGTTTTTCTGGAAACAGCCGTAGTAAACCACAGTAACGTCATTTCCCCATTCACGTAATCGACAACCATTTTTGAATGGAACATGTACATTTTTTTTACTTACGAAGCATAGCGATTTTAATAAATTTCATTTTATCTTGAGAAACATTTTGGTTAGCCCATATGATATAATGCATGCTGCCAGTCTGCACCGTGCCCGAATAAATTTATGACCGTGGAATTCAAAATGTCGTGTGCTAATGTATGTGGTATATAGTGTCGCATATCAACTGTTTGACATATTTATAGACAAACTCATTTAGCAAGAAAATTAAATACAAATCTGGTCCAAGTTTACAACAATTGGTAAATATCGATTCCTAATGTTTTTAGAATTTCGTATATTATTTGTCAATGTAAAACTTGTTATCGAGTATGAACATACCATTCTTTAAAGAATGTACATGTATCTCTTAAATCAACTAAGCCGAAATGTCGCCTTTAGGCGTAATGAGATTGTACCGTACTTCCGAGCTCTGTAGCATCATAGTCATTTATGATACACCAAAATTTGTGGTAGTGATATAGTAATACAATGATAGGCCTACCAAATAAATTTGACTTTTCTACTTGCATTATTAAATACACTGGAAACACATTTGTTTTACACCGAACAATCGCTTGCTGTCGGAACCGGATTTTGTGTCCCTTTAGATCCTTTGTCTGCGATGTAAAGTAGTATAGGGAAATGAGAGTTTTGGCTCACTAAATTTTTTTTTAACCTCCAAACAAGTATAAATTAAATGAGGGTTTCCAAAACAGGGAAATGAGGGTTTTGGCCCACCACCCCCTCCCACACCTATTAGAACGTTTCAGTTAACAAGGTGGAAATTAAACTAGCATTAGAATGAAAATGATATTATTTTATATCTCGTTACCAATGGTTAATGTTTCAACTGTTGATATTAAAAATATTTCATTATCACGATTATAGATACTAAATTTTACTTTACCGCTCACGCAGCGACGGGACTCAAACAAATCTTTCATTTCTGGTTTGTTCAGAGGATATTTTTTGTCGATAAAATACACCTTTGACCGATTGAGATCAATTGTGAGTTTAGTATATTTTTGTTGGCTAATGGGGTTGTGAAAGTTTTTAAATTCCGCTAGCAACTTTTGATACAATTGTTCGAGATAATTGAAATACTCGCTATTATCAGATCTGATGAGCGAAAGTTTTAACTTGTCATGTGTTCCATTAAAACATATACCTGATGTTTCATTATTAAATTCAACTGTCAATTGTTTACCGTCCATCATTAAATATTTAATGTTACTATTGTAGCTATTTGTCATTATCAAATTTTCAAACATTATTTTATAAGTTTAGATAAAATTTCAGTTGGAAAAGATAATGTCGAGTATAGATCTATCATCATAACAATACCCAAGGGCAAATGTATCTACCCCATTTTCACAATAGCGTTTGTCATCAAAATTATACAATCCACGTTTGAAAATAACATCTGTTTCGAGTTTATGATGATTAGTTCGAATTGCCATAGCTCTCATAAAACTAACACCACCATCA